AAATTGAAACACTAAATATGTATTCTTTCTTCACTTGGAGTTCACTCTATATTCATACACACGGAATCCCCTTACTCTTCTTTGTTACTTCACAATTTCCCTTCATCAGGATTTATCTAAAGTAGTTAACATCCTACAGATGCCCAAAAGTGCTTTCCGTATTTCTAACATTTTAAACAACAATTTAGAGAATATCGCTGTGTGTGTGCTGCTTGGCTATGGTAAGCACACAGCAGAATAAATTTCTAGTAGTAAAATTGGTAAGTCCTCACAGATCAATACCTTATTTTGTTGTTGGTAATGATGGCCAAATTGCCATTCCTAGCACTTGTATCAATTTACACTACCACTAGAGGTAGAAGAAAAAATAAATTCTTTATTTATGTGTATCAAACTTTTAGATCTTTAACCTTGTGTTGGTTGGTTTTCTTGGCAACTTGACATCAGATTGACCTGTAGGCAAGCCTATGGGGACATTTGCTTGATTGATGTTTGATGTGGAAGGACCCAGCCCATGACATTATAGGCAGTGTCATCCCTGGGAAGGTGGTCTTCGGAGGTATCAGAAAGGTAGTTGAATGTGAACCTGAGGAACAAGGCATTAAGCAATGTTCTTCCATGGTCTCTGTTTTGGGTCCTACCTTGAGTTCCTGCCCTGACTTCCCTTCATGATGGAGTGTAAGCTATAAGATGAAATAAACCCTTTCCTCTCCAATTTGCCTTTGGTCAGAATGTTCTAGCACAGACAGAAATTGGGACCAGCTTGTAAGATAATACTGTGACAGATCTAGCCATGTTACTTTTGAAGACTGTGAAGGACTTTGGAACTTTGGACTTGAATAGGCATTGCTTGCTTAGAGCTTGATGAGCTCTTCTGTGGGAATTTGAAGAAATGAACGTTGAAAGCAATGCAGATGATAGAAGCCTGGCTTGTAAAATTTTAAAGAGAAGTTTAAGAGTCTCTCAAAGACTATCAGGACTATTTGAATGGTATTTTGAATTACATATATGTGGTGTCTGGTTAGCTGGGACTGAATAATTTACTATAAGTAAAAGGAGACTGGAACCACTAATATGAAACCTTTACATTAATGGGACAATCAAGCTATTTGTCTGGGGTTGAGAGATCAGTAGCAGTGATTAGGAAAAGACTGACATTACTGAGGTGAAATCTTCTGGGAAGATTTCCTCTGGATCAACACACAGAGCTGTTGTCTAAAAAGAGTGTGGGGGTGGCAAAGCCTGCATCTTAGGCTGGTAGCCCCAACTTGGTAATGTGTTGAGTCTCTCACTTGGTCAGTGGTGGCTTTGGCAGCCTCAGAGCTGCAGAGTTTGAAGGGGTCATGGAGAGACCCTGAAGCTTAGTACCACACTGTGAGAGGCCATTGGAGACTGTTCAGCCTTGGTTGCAGTGGAAATGGGAAGAGTAAAGGTGTCATGGAAAGAAATTGAGCACTGTGCGACAGAGTCAGAGTCCCTGAAGAGAGCCCAGGAAAGGCTATTGGTGAAAGCACAGCTCAGCTGTAGCAGAAGAGCTCAGCAGTTTGGAAATCAGAGGCAGCCTGAGCCTAAGAGACAATCTGTATGTGTTGTGGATGGCAGAGCCAGAGAAGTATGAATGCCCAAGCCCTTTGGAGCTCAGAAGACTATGAGTAAATCCCAGATATCTGATGCTGAGCTTTACACTGTTGGAGAAGGAATATGTACTATCATGGGAAGACATGTGTGCTACTGTGAGAGAGAGAGTGTATACTACTATGAGAGGCGGTGTGTACTACTATGAGCAGGAGTATGTGCTATTGTACCTCCATGGGAGGGTGTGTGTGCTGCTGTGGGAGGGAACCTGTGCACCCTGACAGTGTGCTGGCTAGATTTCTTATCATCGGCTTTAGGTTCCTCAGTGAGGTACCTCTTGATTTGTATAGTTTTTGTCAAGATGGAGAAGAAAGGGTGGCTATTTCTAGAACCCTAGAAAATGAGATGGTGGTCAAAAGGTGCAATGTGATTAGCGCCGCGCCCCCTCACCCTGTGTGGCCTTTGCACCCTGCTGCTCCTCTCAGGACTGTGAGGTGCAGGCAGCACTTCCTATGTGACGTCTTCAGTTGGCAACAGATGAAGACATTTCTTCAGTCTGTTTTGTGATTAGAGCACTTGAAATAGGCTGAATTCCAAAATGCTGTCTTAACCTGATTTCTGTTCTGACTGGAGATTGGTTTAAAAGGACCCCTCAGTGCCCAGCCTAGATCCCTTGAGAGTTCATTCACATCTGCTCAGGACTTCAGGAAGCCACTCAGCCCATGTCTCTGTGAGGACATGCAGTGGAGTTTGATTTCCATTAACATTTTCATAGCAAGTTCCTGTTTTATTACCATGATGGAGGAGGAAAGGGGGGAGTATTTAGTGGCTAGAATATATATTTTCCATAAATATTAAAAAGAAATAGTTATCTAAACTATAGTTCAGATGTATGTTATATAGTACACATATGGAATTTCTGTCTATTTTTAACACACAGCTATTTTAAAGCAGGATCAAATTAATCCATGCTTTTCCAGACACAATGAAACCTCATAGTAGTTTCTAAGCTTTCTGTTTACAAGGATATAGCTCAAGGTATGGTATATATTTGCATTCCTTTTCATAAATTCGACATTTGCTATGTATTGCTAACTGAAGAAACCCAAATGAATGAAAAAAAAAACCACCTCTATATTCCCAAAATCAAAAATCAGACCTGTGAGAGCTTGGAAAATATCTGAAACTGATGGATAATTATGTGAGACATATTTAGCAGTTACTGACTTTGGAGCTTCATAAATATCCAACGTCATTTTTCAGAAGGCAGTGGCCAGCTTGTGCGCATGGCCAGGAGGTCACAGCTCTGGCATATCCTTCTCTCTATCTTTTTTCTTCTGGATGGATTCTTAGTACAAGAACAAATCAAATTCTTTCTTTCTTTATTTTAAATGCATGTGTGAAGTGTTTATAAACCTGGGAGTTGTAGACATCAGATAATCCCGAGCCTTATTAACTGTGTGACTTTAGACAAGCTATTAATAGAATCTGTAAAACAAGAACGATGTAAATGGTTCTCGGCAGGTCTAAATGAGGTCATGTGAGTGACAAACTTAGAAAGTTGCCTGGCACAGAATACTGTAATAATTATGCACATATGCTCAATATTTTCATAATTCTTGTTTATAATAGATTGTGAACTCCTGAAAGGCAGGAAATGAGTTTGCTCAGTTTTTCTGTATGGTGATTAAAGGCAGTGATTTGCATGAAATAGTATTTGAGCAAATATTTGTTCAATGAGGACGTATTAATAAATTATGAAAGGCTGAAAGCTGTTAAAATCGTCAGGAAAAAGCATAGTTTTTTTTTTCAAGATCCTGAGCAAATGGGTATTGTTGTTACCACAGTTTCTCTGCAATTGGTCAGGCTTCTGATTTCCTGGTGACTTAGCAAAATAACTGAGAGAGCCCATACTACAGTTGATAAGAAAGAAATAGTGTAAAGTGGGTCTTCTGCAAGCAAGCAGCAGGCTCAAGCTAGAGGGTTCCAGAGCTCTTGGCTCTATCTCCTGGTTCCTGAGGGGGAGAGGATTAATCTCCAGGAACAGGGAAAGGGATGGATTGCAGCAGGCTTTTTTTCTTTTAGGCCATCAACCAACTCCCAAATCAAGACATGGAGACTTCTTATTAGTTATAAATGCTCAGCCTTACTTAGCTCCTATTTTGATCTGTTTCTCTTTACCTATATTTTGCCTTGGGGTTTTTTACCTTTCTTTCTTTCTGTATGTCCTACTTTTACTGGCTTCTTGTTTTTGTCTGTCTAGCAGCGGCCTGGCTTCTGGGCCTTGGCTTGTCCCTCTCTTTCTCCCTCATTTTCTCCACCTTCTTCTCTGTAGTGATATTTTGTTGTACTCTAATAAAACTTGCCTGAAGATTGGAGGACAGAGCCAGCCACCAGATTAAACATAGAGGTCAGGCAGTGGTGTCCCACATCTTTAATCCTAGCACTCGGGAGGCAGAGATCCTTCTGGATTTCTGTGAGTTCAAGGCCACACTGGGCTACATGAGATTGATCCAGTCTAGGAGAGAAACAGAACCAGGCAATGGTGGAACACACCTTTTACCTTAATATTTAGGAAGAACACATGCTATTAATCCCAGCACTAGGAAGGTTGAGACAGGAAGTGAAATGGCTTGGCAGAGAAAGGCATACAAGGCATGGGGAGAAAGGAACTAGAGGCCCCTTCCGGCTGAGGACTCAGAGACATTCAGTCTGAGGATTTGTGGAGGAGTTGACAAGGTGAGAAGTGACTGTGGCTTGTTTCCTCTGATCTTTCAGCATCTACCCCAATGTCTGGCTCCAGGTTTTTATTAAGACCATTTAGGATCTGTGCAATATTCTCTTTGCCTGCCAACCTATCTCTCTTCTGCTTACCTATTGGCCATTCAGCTTTTTATTAGACCAATCAGATGCCTTAGGCAGGCAAGGTGAAACAGCAGCACGTCTTTACATAGTTAAACAAATGCAGCATAAACAAATTTAACATACCTCTATACAGTTAAATATTCCACAACAATGGATCTTTCCCTTGCCCTGATTGACAGAGTTGGGTTGTTAGATAACTTTGAAAGATCAACTTGTGCATGTCCATACATCTCACAATGTTAAGAATATGTACATGGGGCATAGGGTGAATGGGAAGTGGAGGACATATTCTTCCAAGAACAGTTGTCCAGGGTCCCTGGATCTGCCTCTGCTCTGGTTTGCTACATTCCCACATTATAGCTAGTGATGCCACATAAGGGCATGTATAAGCCAGCTTGTTGAGGATAGCTTGCTGGATACACAACCACATACAACTGTCCTTAGGATAGAACAATTCTTTCCAGAAGTACGAAGCAGATTTTGGCTACTTTGTTGTACGTGGGTACATGTTGGAACACTTTGAACTCTCAGAGGAACCTACTACATGGCTACAGATGGTGTAATAGAAAGAAAGGAAATTTATTTTTTGGACAATTGTGGCAGAAAAAAATATTAATGTTAGAATAACATATTCACAATCTAGTAGCAAACAGATGGGAACAAATTGCTTCTTGAAGAGTCAAATTCTTCTTTTTCTCCTGTGGTGTATTATTTACTGTGAGGAGTACAGGACCAGCTGCTAAAATGCATATGACCATCTGGAGCCTTTGACCAGACAGCAAGGGAGGACAACCCTGGGCCAACTTGGAAGCTCGGTTGTTCTCCTCACCTATAAGCCTGAGAAAGCTGAGTTTCTTCCACCATGACATTGTGTAGATGCAATTCAAATGAAGGATGTCCACAGAGGAGCCTAGACGATCAAACACAGCTGGTTAACATTTCCTCCATTCCTCAAAGGCAAAAAGTTAGGAAGACGTTTGTTATTTTATTTTGTCTGTGATTAGAGAATTGACAGAATAGCAAACATATGCCTGAAAAAGTATTATATGCCTAAGTTATGAGCGTAGAACAAATCACTCTGCATTAAAAAATCATTTTAAATACCATCAGAAATCAAAGTAGCATTATACAGCAGAAAAGTGTCATTGCAAATGTCTGCATTGTCCCTTCTTCTTGGAACTCAGATTTCCTTTCCTCCAGAGTACAGTTATCCCAGCAAAGCAAAGCAAGACTACAGAGCAGTTCATTAGGGCTTCAGAGCCTCTTTGTAAAAGCGATGCAATGCCATGGTGTTTTCTGCTTTCTAAGAGCATTCTAGAATCCAGCCTAAAAGCCTCTCATTTAAAGAAAGTTATGCTGATAACTGGAAAAAGGCAGGGTGAGAAGCAGCTCTTGATAAAATGCCCATATTAACTCTTCTATTCTTCCTTGATCCTAGACACTTGCTAATGTCTAAGGTTGAAGGGGAAGCCCTCCTCTTAGTTGATGGATTTCTATTTGGTATTTGAGGCACTGCATATTTTCTCATACTTTCACAGTCCTTTTGACCTTACTCTAGAAGAGAGGGCATGTGACTCTTGACTCTCTTTACTATAATTGCATCGATAAACAATTTTTCTAGTTTTCCTAAAAATAATACTTAAAACACTTCATAATTTATGATGTGCTGTCAAGTTTTTTTGAACTATTACCCAACAGATATTCATGGAAACATAATTTTACCTTATTATATCTGTTCATGTAATTTACATATTTCTGGTTGCACAAGTGTTTGTAGCTCAAAAATATAAACCTGGGTTACCATGGATACATGCATACAGAATTTAACTTCATCAAATTATTATAAAAACGTACTATTTATTTTTAGGATGTAGTATAGCTTAAGCAAAAACTCTTACAGTGTTCATTTTCACCCCTACTAGGATTATTAAGACTATTGCTGGTAATTTTTTTCTTTTAATGCTTTCTTCACTTTTTTTTTGCCAAAGGGCACAGTTTAAACTGTATGTCAGAATGACTGATCAGTAGCCTGGGCTGACTTTTACTAGTCCTACTTCCAGCAAATATGTCAAATGCGTTTTATAGATAACCTGAGAGTAATGCTCATTATAATGTGTGAGAGTTAGAACAATCTACACGGGAGCTCATAGGAAGCTAATTGGCCCAAGTGAACAATAAAGTGAAATCTTAGCTCCCCCTAAGAAAAGCCCCCAAGACTGATGGTATTCTGCCTATCTTAAGAGCAGTACATCCATTATTAACAATGGACTAGACGCAAAGAGTTACTGATCCCTAAGAAGCAAAGAGAAGAAAATATAATGGATGTATGTGCAGAACCAGACCTAAGTCAGAATTTCATGAGCAAAGAGCAGGATGGAAGGAAGTGGAAAGGGATTTCTTTTTGGGTAGGTAAGATTGAGTAAGACGAAATCATAGTGATGGGACAGATCTCCTTAAAATAACTTTTGGGATGGAGCGTGGCAGTGCTGGGTCCATAGTATCGAACCTGGATAACACAGAGATTTAGAATCACAAACCTTGAGTAATTTGGAACTTTCTAACTTCTCTTTTCTTATTCATTGATTTGGCCATAAAGTAGGGACTATACGATATGGGAGATCAGTTTGTTAAAATATATCACAAAAAAGAAAAAAATTGTATTTAAAATGTGTGTACATATATGCATATGTGTTTAAATATATGAATGAAAACATGGAGTCATGGAGAAGAATGCCATGCCACACAGAACTTTGTAGAACTTGCATATCCAGTAATAGACCTGTTAGAGCTGCTATGAGCAAATGCATTTTTAAACATCATGGTTCACAAAGTTTTTGCTGTTATGAATTTGATAGTAACATTAAAATGTCAGCATCAGCTATTCTACTGTTTTAGACATCTAAATAGTTTAAGAGCCAGCGACAAGGATAGCTATTTGGCATAAGCACTTCAGTAATTTATGCATTCTGTTTCCTTAGGGAAATAAAAGCCAGCCTTTATTTGAGTTTCTCCAAAAGAACCAGAAGCTCATTCAACAACATTAATCAAATACATGTAGGTGGACTGCAGCTAGAGATAGAAAGATCTTAGAGTTTGGTAGGAGATGTGTGAGCATCCTGGCTAGTACTCTATATGGAAATGCCGCCACAGAGCTCAGACACCAGAGATATGTACCATTGAGCTAATCTGGAGAATTAACTGTGTCATGTAACTGCCACATAAGTTAGAGGGAGGGTGGAATACAAGCTGAAGCATCAGGGAACCATCCATGTCTTCAGGCCATTTCAGTGCACCGATGCCATTTTATTACTACTCATCTTTATCCATACTTCAGAGCATCCGCCAGCCTGAGGACACTATGTGGCAGACTGCAAATGTAGGTGAATTGGAGGTACTGTTACCCCCTGATCCTGCCACAGCAGCTCATGACCAATCACTGACTGGCACTGACATAGAAATCCCCACCTGCCTGGCCTTGAGGGGATTATTCTGGGGAGCAAGTTGTACATCATGCCCCAAACCAGCCCATCAGTAAGAACTCCCAGGCTACTGTGATGGCACACTCAGAACACACTCCCTTGCTTCTTTCTCATTTCCAGTCTCAATCCATCACTTGCTTTCCATGCTTCCTGAAATGACTACCAAATGCTACTGGTGTACAAACCCACACTTTAAGGTTTGCCTAAGGAGAATAAAACATAAGAAAGGCAATTGCAGAGAAGCTGACCATCTTGCACAGGAGGCTTTGGCGATGCTGTCTAGCCAAAGCCATTTACTTGAGTAGTAGGAGATCAGGGATCCAGAAAGATTGAAGCCTACTCCATAGTCATGAACAGAAGAGGTAGAAAAAGAGCTCTGCTTGCTTTACCACAAGTCTATGCCCTTTATTATACTCAACATTTCACATATAACATGAAGGTTAAAATTGAAACACTGCCAGTTTTACAAAACTCAGTTTGATTATAAAGACATTCAGATATTCCTCCACATACATTACAGACCAAATGAATGGACTTTCAGACACAGTCATAACATATCAAGTACAGAAACAAAATATTGAAGATGGTCATGCGGAAGAAGCAGGTTAATTTCATAGCAACTCAAAAGCTGATGTCAAAGTGATTGGGGTCTTGAAACAAGGCAACTAGTGGAGCTATGGGCAGTAGTGAATGCTGCAACTGGAAAAGGTAGTTTAATCTATGTATGAAATATAATAAGAATGTATTGTAACTAGTAATTTCTTTTGTTCAGGGACTATGAGATCTGCTTTCAGTGGAATCTTGTTTTATTTCAGATTTAGACATTTCAGTCTTGTACATATTACCACACTTGCTCAGGATATTCCTGGTTGAAAAGCTCTTTTAGCCTACTAATTGATACAAGGAAATATGATAATCAGGACTAAGAGTTTTCTAAGAATATTCTACTTTAAAATTATCAGTGAAAGCACAGACTCAGAGTCAGTGGACCAAAGAGTCATGCTCATCCTTGGGTTAAACATTAAAAGTTCTGGCTTCTCACAATCATCTTGAGTCAGGTTTTGTTCATAACTTCCAAAATTCAACTTTCATTTATATCCAGTATTTTTTTCTTTGCTTTACATGCTCCTAATGCTTTTAAGTTCTGTGAGGACACCAGCCCCTCACCCAGCTACATATATATAGAGAGACCTATAAATGTCTCTTTAAAGCTGAACACATTGCTGATTGTTAGGAATTAAGTTTTAAAGACAAAATTTATTTACTTATGTGCATACAGCTCTGTGTGTATGAATCTATCTGTACATGTGTGTATAAGTATGGAGGCCACAGAGGGCATAGGATCATGAGGAGCTAGACTTACTGGCGTTTGCAAGATTCTTGACTTGTCACATGGGTACTGGGATCCCAACTGCATGGTACTCAAGGTCATGCAGCAAGCACTCTTAGCTGCTGAGCCATTTTTACAGTTCCAGAATTTAGTTTTGAGGCTTTAATATAGCTACTATATTATTGAAGTCAGAAAAAAAAGAACCCAAAACTGAAGAGCATGACAACAGTCTAGCTTACTCTGTTCTTTACATGTTGGATACACCTGGTTCAGTGATCTGAATTTAAATACTCATAGGAATAAAAATATAAAAAAACATGATACACATGATCTTTTTTTTCATACTTTTTTTTTTTTTTTTTTGGTTTTTCGAGACAGGGTTTCTCTGTGTAGCTTTGCGCCTTTCCTGGAACTCGCTTTGGAGACCAGGCTGGCCTCGAACTCACAGAGATCCGCCTGGCTCTGCCTCTCGAGTGCTGGGATTAAAGGCGTGCGCCACCACCGCCTGGCCTTTTTTCATACTTTTAACATCAATGAACACATGACCAGTAAACTAGATGTCAAGAGGTCACCTTGCCACTTTTGAGCATAGAGACTGGTTTGATTTGGTGATGATGTCTGATCTGAACAACCCCTTTTGGGAAACCCCAGTGTTCCTCTGGCACAGCCAACTGCTTTATTCTTTCTTCTAAAATCATAGCTTTCTTACATTTCACTATTGTGCCATATACTATGGTGCATGCATGATGTCTATTAATATAGATATTTTCTGAAATATCTGTGACTAAACTGTTAGGATCTATTTTTATCACCTTACTGTTGCATCTGCAATGCCTGGCACAGTAGGTGCTCTGTAGTTAAAGAAAGGGAAGAAGGGAGGGAGGAAGGGGGAAAGGAAAGAGGGTCAACTTGAAGCAACCACTGAGGAGTGTTTTGGTTCTACTGGCTTAAAAGATATTGTGTCATTAAAATATTTTCAAACATTCCCGAATGCTGTGAACTTCCAAATTTGGGGTGATGCCAGGATGTTACAATGAGGGAAAGAAAATGATGAGAAAGGCTAGGATTAGGCCAAATTAGGAGGATGAGGAAGGGAAGGGA